CCGGATTACCACGTTAGGCAGAAATTCCTGTTAAAAAAAAGGACATTTTGCCGTATGCCTTCCGCTCCTTCTCTACGTTTGTCTGGCTCTGAAAATCACGTACTCTCAGCCTCGCCTCAGACCGGAATAGATATTTTTGATTGGCTTTCAAAACAAGCAGGGGTATTTATTAGTTGTACAGTTGTCTGCATTCCACTCGTATGTTCAAAGCCATTAGTTGGGATTTGGGGGGTCAGGCAGGGACGGTGAGCTGCGTTTTGGCTGTTGTTGAGGAAACAGGCCGTTTTAGTAATTGCATTTTCCCCTTTGTTCTTTTGCAGACCCATATTTCCTGTAAGGTGAATATTGTGGCAACGATTATGAGCAGAAATGCTTCCATATTTCTTAGATTCATTTTTCTTTATTTTTCTTCTAGAACTTAAGAGAACTGCCTCTGTTTTCCTTCTGTTTGTCCTTGTTGGAGCAAAATATGCTAAAAGCAGTTCTACTTTTCAATGAAAGCTACTTAGCCTTTTTCAAAGCTCCTTTTAACAAAAAGCTATGTTTTTAATTATTTATATCTTCATAAGAATTTGTTTTTTGGGGTGTAATTTTCTATGCTTAGCCTAACTTTTCAGTTCAGGTTCATTCTAAATTTAACTAAACAAAGCTAATTAGAATTACGGTACTTTATCCTGAAGGGGAAATTATTTTGTTACAAGACAGATCATGAATCAGCCAACAATGATGTGCATGGGGAGTTAGGGAGTCTCGAAAAGTCTGTTGAGCTGTAAAGCTGCATGTGCTGGAACGAGGAAAGAAGCAGGACTGGGCAGGTGAGGTGGGACCTGAACCACAGCCAGTGCTGTGGGTAATGCTCATCCCATGTAATTATGGAAAGAAATAAGGTAAAGAGCAGCGATTCCCAAACTTTTCCAACTTGAGCCCAAAAATTAAATATAGAGGAGACTTGCAACTCCCCTGATGTGGATGAATTATAAAAAAACATCCCCGCTTGAACCGTTAGGCCCAGTGAACGGTCTGCACTTTCTAATATCAGTCAATATAATATCAGTCAGAGCTGAAAAGGTCTGTGCATTAAAGTACATTTAGCCAAAACTGCCACTGTCATTCGAAAGATGGACTGATGCCTCCTCCAGGTCGGATGATAGGCAAAAGCAGGATCATAAGACCTGAAACAATACCGAAAAATTTAAGCATGACACTTTTTTCATGGTTAGAGTTTGAAAAGCAGAACAGAGAAGAGAAGGAATAGAGCGACAGTTGTCTTAAAATAGTTTACATTTCCACCCTATTTTTTTTGCAATCTCAGTCTGAAAATTACACAAATCTCAAACAATGTCAGACTCAGCCCAGAGTAATGCTGTTTCTTCCCCACTTTCTCCAAACCCCTGCTTTTATTTTGCTGAATAGTTTGATCGTGCTGCACATGTCTTCATTTTCAGGCCCTCTGCTACTCTGTTCATTAGTCCCGCATTCCTCTGTGCTCCTCCGGTTGGTTGTTTCCACCTTTGGAGCATCACAGGTTACGCTGGCACCTCGCTTTGTGGTTATTGCTCACCTCTACTTCTGTTAGGTCTCATTAAGAGAACCCTCAATCAGCCGTTCTCTCTCCCTGCACCCTCTGCCTCTTCATTACCGAGCGGCATTCTCTCCATTTGTTCTTTTTTCGTCTCTCGGCAGCGGAGTGCGGTGCGTAGTCAGTTAGCAAACATTAGTTTTTAATTCTCTAAACAAGAAGCCTGTTGTTCAGCTGTTGTTTTCGGGAATAGCAGGCAGAAAGAGGAGTTCAGATTGGTCGTCCCTCAGCCCTGCGTTCGCCGTCATTTCACGTGCAGAAAGCAAGACGCAGTCGGCATTTGTCATTCAATTAATTCGAACCAAACCGGAATCGGCCGCCCATGTTTGTGAGTGGGAGCCATTTGGGGGAGGGGGGGGGGGATGGGCTGAGGAGCGTGGCGGCACCGCGTGACATCAGACCTGATGCATGTGTTCGGCCTCGCAGCCAAGCTGCATGTTCACAGATCGACACCTGGGCCCGGGCCTGGTCTAAATCTGCCATGCAACGCCACCATCGGCCCCGGGCCCACAGCCACACCCGGGCCCGGGCCTGCTCTGAACGCCATGGCAACAAGTCAACCGTCTCTCTTTCAGCCGGCACGCAAGCTCCCGGGCCTCCTCCCCTCCTCCTGCCTCGCCCTCATTTCCCCGCGTCGCTGCTATCAACACACTCAGCAGCCTCACATGCAGTCCATTTGGGATAATCAAACTGGCCGCAAGAATGCAACGTGCCCATATATTTCCTCCTTTCTCACTTCAGCGAATCGGTGGTAAATTGTTTTTTTCCGAGATTTTTCATGTTTTTTTTTTGTTGTTTTTTTTTTTTTATCCCTATGCAGGCATCTGGAAAGATAAGACCCACATCTTACCGAGTCATCGCACTGAGCCCCTGAGTCTGTTTTTCCAAAAAGTTTCCCCCCCCCCCTCGGCCCGAACAGTACAGCAGAGCGAGCCAGACGCTTTACATTCCTGAAGAGAGCAACTCGGAACAAAGACTCACCGTGCTAAATTTGATATCATCTGGGGGAAGAACAAAAGAAAAAAAAAAAAACTGAGACTAGATCCTGACAAAAGCTGCTGAGGGATTGTTACCTAACTGTGCTGAAACTGACGTATTCCAACCTGTACACAGCACATTGAGCCAAAAGAAATAAGCTTAAATATTTTTCAGGTCAGTTTTCAGCCTTGTGAGAGTTATCTTGAGGGGATAAGAGATGGGAGTGACACGGCTGGTCCAGCACTCCATCACTTTAAAGGCCGCCGGACTACAGTTATTATGATCAGTGTGCATGATGGGAGATTTTTTTACACATGTCTTCTGTTGGATCTTATCTTCAGAATGGGCTTATCGTTCAGTCAGGATCCATCGCTGCCTTGGCTTCCATTCAAATCAACTTGTGAGCTCATTTGTTATGTAAGCATAAAGCAAAACTTTTAATTGAATATCCGGGGGTTAGATAACTCTGTAGTCCAACATCTTCCTAGATAGATGGATTTATATAATGGCAATTTTACAGGGATGAACATGCATGCCTTCTCTTTATATACCTGATTGAATATAAATCATCTCACTGCTATGTTTCGATCCACCATCTGAGCTTTCTGTATATTTTTCATGAAAACAGCAGGCAGCTGGTTTCTCTTGCGTCCCCCTTTGGGAAAACTAAAATCCAAGTGGTGCATGTCTCCTTTACATGAGTGCACTAAGCCAAAAGTCCCCCGTGTTTCTTTTTATCTGATCGCGTTTCTCGCTTGTACCGCAACTCATATCTCCGTTGGCAGTGTCAAATGAAGGCGTGAAATATCCCCCACTTCCACAAAAACACTCTCCCCTCCTCACGCCCAAATGTACTAAGTTCTAAGCAAACGTCCTGCAGGATACTGAAACATTGTTGACCTTTGTTTACCTACTGAGATGCAAATCAGCCCGTAAAGAGCTCGTCTTCGCCTTTGACAACCCGCTGATGTGGGCAAATAGGTGTGAGCCGCGCAGCAGTGCGATTGTTCGTTAGCGAGAAGATCCCATGTCTGGATTTGGGCGGTGACCTTTCGGATCGGAGTTTGCTCGCTCTCCCTCTGCCAAAGCCTTTTTGTTTGAGGTTCCTGGGTGACGGGAAGGGACATTTTGGTTGAATAGGGGTATAGAGTTGTCCTCTTACCGGAAAAGAAGGGGGAAAAAGAATAAACATGACCATGTGACCAAGCCCATGTAACATTTTTTTAAACCGTGTGGGACTTTTCCGAGAAACTCGTGCTTGTGTTTGGTAACTAGGAGGACAATAAGATTACCAGAGACAAGATTCCAAATGCATGTAGATCACTACGGACATTGGAATACGGACAGCCTATCTGCATTAATCTTTATAACAGTTGTAGCTATCAAAGGAGGCCGATGGCTTTCATTGCAGTTAACTTTTTCCATAGGGCAGAAAATCCCACACAGGGGTCCCGGCTGCGGAACAACTTGTGCTCAGCTAAATTAAAAATGTGATTTTTAAAAAAGCCCCCACAAACAAACTAGCAACGACGGCCTGCCTTCACCTGTTTCAGGGCAGTGTAGCACGGTTTTGTGTTGATTTCTTGTCCAGGAACAAGTTCATCTTGTGGGAGTTGAACTGGCCACCTTACAATTCGCAATCCTCCCTTCAAGCGGAGCTACCGGAGCTCGTTTGTTGATAGCCTCAGCTTTTCTCTGATTTTTGGGTCTTTGCGGAGTCATCGCTCTTGCTTGGTGTTTTGTTTGTGTTCTTTACAAGCCTGGTGTGCTGATTCGTTTTTTCACACTCCCGGCTCTGGCTTTTATGGCACAGCTGACCCCCTCGTAAAGAGCAGGCGGCCTCATTCCTGAGCAGACCGAGAGGGACTCGCAGGTGCCAGGAATCCTGCTAAGCGAATATCAGCGTCCTCTCCGGGCTCCCCTCCTCTCACCCCCCCTCATCCCCCCCCCGTCCTCTCACTCTGCCCTCTCTTATGATCTCTTCCCATTCACCTCCAGCTGCTTTCTGGCACCAAATCATTTCTTTTTCTCATACTTTTTCTCATTTTTGTTTCACAGTACTCTTCTTCTCTTCACACTGTCAGAATGGAGGGGACGGCTACTTTTTCCACCGTTCCACCGCAGCACTTTGTGCTCAAATAAAGGGGCTTTTGTGCTCTCACGCCCATGTATTTACCTTCATAATTGGCGTCGGTGCACACCCAGCTGTTAAAAAAAAACAAAAAAAACATGCCACATCATGAACTTTTTTTTCTCTCTTTCTTTTTTGGGTGTTTTTGTCCAGATGTTTGTTTTTGCCCTGTTGTCAGGCCCGTTTTTTTTTACCTATCCATGTGTTCATTCAGCAAACTGTCCACACATGGCACACAAACGGAAGCGGTTTATGTGTGTGTGTGAGACGTTTTTTTCTAAGCGTATGTGTCTGTGTCATCCCGTCCGTTAGGCTGCGCGCACCCCGAGGAGCTGACCAACGAGCGGGCGCACGGGGCCGTGGAGCGGATGTTCCAGACCCTCCGAGGCCTGAGCCGCACCAGGGACCACCTCAAGAAGCTGCGCTCCGTCTACACCGCCAGCGACGGAGTCCACCAGGTCAGAGGCTCCTGTCTCCACACACACAAAACACGCAACGTTCTCCAGAACACACACCAGAAAAACACATCTGTCTGCCTCACAGACGAGTACAGCCGAGGTCAGGTGTTCACCAGTGAAGATATAAAGTTTGTTTAGTTTTATTTTTCCCGTTAAAGATTACATGTGGGTTTTTTTTATCTAGGTCAGACTCTCCGTCATGATAAAAGCGAGGAAAAAGTTGAGTGAAAGGAATATCCTTGGAGAGTTTGGCTTTAGCAGACGGATTTACAACAACAGGGAGGTCTTTGTCCTCGCTGTTTTCATTTCGCTCTTTTGTTTGTCTTTTCAGCGTCCTCCGAGTAAGTCGAAAGGTTTTTTTTTTCTGCTTGGTTTCTTTTTGTGTTTTTACTCTGATGTAAAGCAGTGACGCACAAGGTCTCTCGTTCCCTTTTGACGCCAGTGTTCAACAGTTGGATACAGAGAAGTTTACTGCTTTACTGTCTTGGTTTCTGCCTGCTTATTGTTGGGGACTGACATATTCCACTCGTACAGCTTTGGTGATCCTCAGTTTTAGATTTTCCTCAATAGATATTTTGCTGTCCACTACTATTCTGCACGCATTTAGCTTCAGCACACCCCACTGTCACCTTCATCTGAAAACTTTTAGGCATAAAGCACTTGACTTTATGTACGACTATCACAGAAATGCAACAATGGGCCTTGTTTCAGGGGGTGCCAAATGCTTTTAATAGGTTGCAGGTTTGGGCGGCGCCACAGGTTGGTTTAGCATCCAGTCTGCAGATTTTTGCTTATGATGCTGAAGTGAGCAAAGTCTTTTCTAAAACCAGTAAAAATATAAGAGGAGGGGGGGGAGGTTGAGCTTCAGTGCCGCAGCGACAGATGTGAATCTCGTCTTTGGCGTGAAGGATGTGGTGTTCCCATTTTCCAAAAAAGAATTTCCCTATCGATTTATCAGACCACAGCGCAGTTTTGCTCGCAGCCTCAGACAGTAATGGCCGATTAAACTGATTTTCAAGATCCCAAACGTCGGTCATTTGTCAAAGAACACACTTCTGCCACTGTAAATAATCCAGCAGAGATGGTTCCAGCCCACATTCAAAGGGAAAACAGCGGATTTGAAAGTCAATTACTATTCGTAATTTTATGTGCGAAGGCCTCATTCCAGATGTGAAAAAGCACTTACCTTTTGGCATTTATTTGACAAGCTCATAGAGTAAACAGTCCGAATGGCAGAGTCCTATTTTAAAATATTATTTTAGTGCTCATATGTATAATATTGGTAGAAAGGTCTTAGAAAAAAGTCTTTCAGTTAGAGTCTGGAAATCCAATAAACTTTGAAAACGGAAAATGTCTAAAAACTTCACGGCTGGCAGCTGTGTGGGGAAGAAAAACAACACCGTGGTCCAAATGTGTCAGTATCTCACCGGAGCCGGTGCCGGTGGAACTGAGAGGCGGTGCGTCTCTGTTGGCTGGATCTGTCCGTCCGTGTTTGGGCTGAATGACGAGGACCACTGGATGCAGAGAGAGAACAGCGGGGCGTCCGCCGGTGACTGCCTGTTCTTGAGAATCATCAGGAACATCCGGAATCCATCAGGCCCTCTCAGCAAGCCACCTCTGAGCCGCGTAAATAAACGTCTGTCGGTCAAGATGACTTCCTCAGAGTACAGCTTTTTTTTTCTTTTTTCCTAGAGCCCAGAGGGTCTGTTACTTTGGGGTTTTCCAGACAAAAAGATTTTTTTCCAGGAGTCGAGGAGGTCCGGGTTTTTTTTCTGTGCTTATGTGTTAAAGTGGTTTAGCTTGTTTATTATGATTACTATTATTCTGTTACCAGTAAAAAAGCCGATGTGTGTCCGTTGCTCTGAGAGATGGAGGTCTCACCTCGGTGTCATGACGTCCGACATCCTTATCACAAACAAACTGTATCTGGGGAGAATAAGGGAAGCTACACCTATTCTCACATGTCAATTTTTTTTTTCTTCCCTGGGAGTTATGTAAGATGTTCATTTTGCTTCTCCCAAAGCCTGAAATATTACCCCGGCCGACACAGCGGACAGCCAGTGAGATCATATGTTTTCATCTCAGTGTGTTCATGTAGGGAACCGGAGAGCTGTGTTCACTCATGGCTTCAGACATTAGACTTTTAAGTGAAAAAGCCACCGAAAGCCACCATTTTTAAAAATATTTTTCTATCATTTATCCATTATCACAACGCGTATTTTCAATGCATTAAACTTAGTGGAAAAGTTTTTTTTTAAAAGACCCAAAAGTTAAGTCCTAATAGGCCTTAGTGACTGTGACAGAGCTGCAATAAAACCAAAGGTTTCTTGTCTACATATTTTCCTGGGAGAGGCTAAACTGAAAAGAATATTTTCAGCGGTCAGTGATCAAATGTGTGATATCAGGAAAGTGAGCTCAGGTTCCAAGGGAGATATTTTGGATCCTGGTCATGTCGAAGTTCTTTTGAGACTACTCTTTGCAGAGCCGAGCGTTTCTGATTAGCCATGCATTCCCTAAATGTTACAGCAGTTTGACATCTGAACTAAATGTTTTCTTTAAAGAAGAAATATATATATATATGTTGTTTTTTTTAACCTCATTCAGTCACTCAGTTTTAACCTCATTCAGCGACGGATCACAACTATTTTTTTCTGTTTTAATAAAGCAAAATAGGGAAAATAGGACACATTCTTTTGTTTTAGGGTTATAAATTCCATCTCTCGATTTATTTATTTTTAAACATAAATGTGCTCATCGACCTCAGTCCCAATAAATGCTTTGCGGGGGGGGACCCTGGTGCCCACGTCTGAAAGTGTGTGTTTATATTTGTGCGTGCAGGGGAGTATTTAAACGCTGTGACTAATCGCGCATTGTTTTCATCGTGTGGGTTTCTGAGGAGGGAATTTAACGCGACTGCTTTTAGCTTCTTTTTTTTTTTCTTTTTTTCTTTTTTTTATCAGATGAAAATGGGTTAGGGTTGTTTACAGCTGCCTCGTTGTTGTGCATGCACCCGCTTTGAGTCACTCCTGTGTTTACTCCAATTTTAGGAGATGCAGCCTGACCCGTCCAGCCCGTGTTGCTGAGGGTAAATGTTTATGTAACTCAGGCTTCAGGATTTCCCAAGGCCCTAAATTGTCTTTCTCTCTGGGTTGAGAGAGGTGGGAGTCTTTGAGGTGTCAGTTAATGATCCATAGAGAGGATGTTTGGCAGAAACCTCTAGGTGCATTAGCTTTTGGATAACATTTTGTGTGTAGGTGTGTGTTCTCCAGGTTTGACTCGGCGCTTTGATAGATGCGGTCAGCTGAGATGCTTCCTTGACAACCTCCAGATGCCTTTTTTGGCCTAAACCCCTCTTCTGCCTTTCTAATTCTGGCCTCATTTCAATAAGGAATGCTATCAAGTTTTCTAGCGCTGGAACATATTCAGCATTTTTTTACAAAGACCTCGGGTATCCTGCGTGCTCAAATAAGGGTCTTGCAACTTCATTCCTTTGAAGGATAAAAAAAAGCTCCCTTATATTCTTGATTTTCTTTTCTCAGAGGCTATTAATGGTACATTTTGTACTGGGTCGCTGGGCAGAAAAGGCTGAGTCCTTGTAGCTGGAAGAGTGTTGTTTTTTTGTTGTTTTTTTGTGCTTTACTTGTATTGCGGCCATGGAGAATCTTTTCAGGCATTTATGAAGCTTTAGCCGGGCTTTTGGTGCTGAGCCTTTTCAAGGACAGGTATTTCACAGAAACTCCTCCACCTTTTCTCCGTCAGACCGAGAGGAAGAACAAACGATGCGATGCCACTGTGGAAGCGTACCGAAGCCCGGCGTGGAGAGAGAGACGCACGCATGTTTTGATGATGCATACGCTTACTTTTCTCTTTTGTGCTCGCTGAGTCGACTAAACCAAAAACTCAAAATGTCACCCCACCCAGCCTTTTAAAAAATTACACACGGCCCCTTTTCATACGTCATTAGATGCTTCTCCTCTTCAAAATATGTCTGTCACCTACACTAAGAAGGGCAGTTTGTGGGAATGGAGGAATGCAAAGAAATTTCAGCTCATGGCAGCAAAAAACACAGTCTCATATTAAACTTTTTGGAGGTTTTGTTTGTTTTTTTACTTTATTTTCTTGTCTGCTTATGTGTTCCAAAGCCTATTGTGGGCAAACGCCATGGCTGAGGATTTTTTTCTGTCCAACCTTCAGTGCAAATAAATCCTGACGACATGCTAGCTGAAGCTGTGCGCTCATTTGCATACACCAGGCATCAAACCAAGACGTGTTTAAACAAGTGAGCTGAAGGAGATGTTAGAAGAAAGACTGAGCAAGAAGCCATGGGGTGATGTTGTGCTTTTACTGTAAAAAGAGGGCTCCAGAAAATCGGTGCTCTGAAATCTAATGGAGAACCTCTTCGAGCCGGTCAAGCATTTTCTGACACTAAAAGCTCAGACTGGCCTCTCTGAGACGTTCATCTCTTTGGAGAACTCCCTTCTGAGAAGGACATTCGTCCCTTTGCCAAATTTCCAACAGATATTAATAATAAACATTTGACAGCTGCTTTCTACTGTGAGGCCGGAAACACTAAAGACAGCGAACGCAGAGACATATTTAAAGAATCCGGTTATGTAAATTCGGCCTTCTAATTATGGTGCAGGGGCACTTTGCATGAGCTAGCGTTGGCCGTGGTCGATCCTTTGATGGATGTTTCCTCTTTGTCGCCCACTCATGATTAACCCAAAGTGCTGTTTTTGGCCACATTTAATGGAGCAGGATTCCTCTGTCCCGGTCGCAGAGCTGTTTAAGCTCCTCTTCCTGAGGTGACTCACCTCAACGGGCTTTCTGCTTGAGCTGTGCTGTTTATAACTCCGCCGTGTCTCCCACTTTTAGCCATTCGCCCAACCGTGCAAAGACTTAATGCCTTTTTATATATATATCCATCGAGGCCTCACATTTTACACCTGACCAATCCTCCATGTATAGATATGGCCGGACCCTGTGCTGGCCCTGTCTCCCATGCGTTTGCTCTGTGTGTTTTTTTAGGCCACCTACCGGCCCTTCCTGCGGCAGATCCTGGAGGAGGTCTTCCACCCGGACCGTCTGGAGTGTCCCGACATCGAGCACATGTCGGGAGGCCTCACAGACCTGCTGAAGACCGGCTTCAGCATGTTCATGAAAGTGAGCGATCGCCCGCAGAATGAAGTTATTTTCATGGATAAAAAAAGGGATGAATGTGACATTTTTTCATGTGAAAGACCATTTACAACCATTTTTAAGAGTTTGTTACCAGCAATTTGTCGCTCTCATGGAGGGAGGATTCATCCATCCGAGGCTTTTTAGCATTTTACAGACTGTCTTTATTCATTTATTTATTAAGTTTCCTTTCAAAGGTGCGTAGATGAATGGCTGAACCTACTTTCCATTGTCCCGGAAATCCAAACAGACGAGGCGCTTCTTTTGCACGGTATTGTAAAAACTGAATTAGGCACCATACCTGGACCCTTTCACAAAGGTCACGTTTTGTGGGACAAACAGCCACGTGGCTCCACATGGAGCCAGCCGCTTCTTTTCAGGGTCTGTTGGTGGATGGATGGACGTATCGGGCTCCCCCGCCAATAAGAGGCCCCAGATCACTGCCCTGCTGGCCGACCGTTCGGTTAGCTATCTTAGTCTTTTCTTTCAGCGCCCACTTAACTCCACAGTGTCTGATTAAAACTAAAACTGACCGTTTAGTGTCCTACGACCACTTCCTTACTGGTTGGGTGTTATTTTTCTACGCGATTTCTCCAGTGGTGGCCCCCGGAGTTGTACCCCGTATGAATCTTTTACAGGCTTTGATGTGAATTTTAACAACGTTTTTCATTATAATCATGTCCTCTAAGCCACAAATAATCAGGTAGACGCGGGAATAGAAGCAAAAGGACACATTTTACCTTTAAATCTGCTTTAAACAGAGTATGTTCTTCAGTCTGAAGAATGGCGACTGTGGGTTGTAATAACACACGATTCATTTTCATCTTCCTAAATATTCCGTCCTGTCCTGTTGTCAGGCACATTTGTCTTGCAGAGGTGCAGGAGCCTGAGGAGACACGGTGACCTGAATATTTTGGGCCGGGGTAATATTTGTCTTCTCCTGCAGACACATGTGCAGTTTTACTCCTGTGGGTGATGTTCATCCACTCCCCAGTCGCCCAATAACAGCGCTCGGATTATCTCACATCTGGGCCTTTTTACTCTGATGGTTCCCCGGGGTGGGGGGGCAGTAGACAGGTTGTGTAACCGTGGCCTGGATTCGCACAAATGAAGAACTTTGGCAAGTGAACCACTAACTCAGGCAGGCTAAACCCGTAAACCTGATCCGGGGGTGTTCCATAGGAGCCCAGGGCACCCCCCCCTCCTTTTTTAATGCAGTAAAACAGTCCTATAAAATGTATTTTTAACAGTTTGCCTCACTGTGGACGCAGTTTATACCAGTCAGCACACTGGACTGTTGTCTGGATTCCAACCCACTAAAAGTCTGCGCTGAATCGCTCCAGACTCCAGCTTCAAACCGTTTTTTACTAAACTGTGCGTGCGTCTGTCGTGACATTTTAGACTTTAAGTCAGACCCACCATGTTTACGGGACGCGGGTTTCTACTCATCGCCGTTGATATGTAAGGAGAAGTTACCCATACCTGTTCAGAGATGGTTTGTTTTAGACGCGAGGGCCTTCAGGTCGTGTTTACTTTGTACAGATCCGTTAAAAAAACTGGGAAATCTGCCCGAGAAAACACCACCAGCTGCGATCAGGAAGATAAAAGTGGCTTCCAACATGTGGGTCGTACCGGTGACTCACATGCATGCGGGGCAGTTGCGTCTAAACACCACTGATGATGGTTGTTCACAGTTTTGATAGATACTATATCCAGAAAGTTATTGAGCCAACTTGAACTTTTCTAATGTTTTCCCCTGGCAGACGTGCATTTAACGACCGATTTATATTTTTTAATTTATGGTACAAAAACATATTTTTCTCAGTTTTTTTATAATTGTGTTTCCAGCTAATTGGGCTGCAGCGAGTAATTGTGCACAAAAAGAACCCGTTATTAATTATTTGGCAGGCTGATTTGTTTTCTGTATTAAGTGTGAATGGAAACTAAAATCTGCACACTGAAACCTTTTTTTTTTTTTATTAAGGGTCACTAGTTTTTTCGGTGTCTGTTAAAGGAAAGTAAATCAAATGCATTTAACATGAATATAATTATAATATTTTTAGAATAATTTATTATGTCATATATAATATTACATTTATTTAAATGAATTTGCCATCCTACCTTGTAAATCAGTTGTTTTCCTGTATTTTTTGGGTATCTTTTTTCCATTTCCAGACTGCGCAGCCCTTCCCTCTGCCGTCTATCTCATGGCCGTGCACATGAATCACACGCTGCTTCTATAGATCAAACAGGTGTCGATGCGCTCTCACATGCGCTCTCAACCGCGTGTCAGTGAGACCATCCCGAGATGCGGCATAACATGAGCGGAATAGACCAGAAACCATTAGTTCACACCTCTGTGCCACAACACATGTCCCACCACCCCCGACACGCCGGCTGCTTCACGTGTACGGCCACTCCTGCCTCCAGCCCACCCCCCGCACCTCTGATTGCACGGTTGGGATTCACAGCCCGGTCCTGCCTGTCCTCGGCCAGCCAATGGCGCGGCGGCTCGCCTCCCAACGGCCAATCGGGCTCCGCGGAAACACCAGACCGCAACCCCGCCGCTAAAGGCCGTCTTTACCTGACAGTTTGCCACATCTCTTTGTCCGCGGGAGCCTTCTCGCCTTCTTTGTTTATGCCTCCGCTGGGTTGTGTAAGCAGATGTGTGCGCTTGTTTTTAAGGCCACGTGTCCTCCGTCCATCCATCCATCCATCCATCCATCCATCCATCCGTCCGTCCGTACGGCAGTGTCAGGAGTCTTTTCAGGGATTGTGTTCCTGTCCGCTATCGGCGGGGTCCAGCCGAGCAATGACTCAGCAACAATTCACACAGAGATAGAGACATTACGAGATGGAGAGGGAATGATGTAAAAAGTGTTGCCTGGCTAAAAAAAGGGGATTGTTCATCGAAGAGTGGTTTATTACAGGAAGGGGAAGTCAACAAGTCCGATGGCCTCGAAAGCAAAGAAAAAAGAAAGCAAAAAAAGGCCCTCTTTTAGGCTCACACTGTGCTCTCTTATCTCCAGGTGAGCCGTCCGCATCCCAGCGACAACCCCCTGCTCCTGCTCTTCGTGGTGGGGGGGGTCACGCCCTCCGAGCTCCGCCTCGTCCAGGAGACGGTCGACAAGCACCAGCCGGAGAGCCAGGTGAAGCGTGGCCGGCCAGTGGACGGCGGCTGCCCCCGTCCAAACGTTTTTGTGGTTTCAAAGTAGTTTTAAAAAAGTGCTTCGTTTTTGTCATCTTAAAAAAAAAATCAACAGCTTATTTCCTGACTTTTTGTGATGGATGTGGATTTAAGGTTTTCCAAACATGCATCTGTCTCAGTCCCCCCCCTCGCTCTCTTTCTCTCTCTCACACACACACACACACACACAGACGCACACACTCTCACACATTACAGCCATCTCTGCCCTTTAAAGGAAAGCTTTTTTGTTGTTTTTGCTCAGACTCATCAGTCTGATTTCTATACAGCACTTCGTTTACAACCACAGAGTGATACAAGTAGTTTCCAAAGGACTCACCCCTGTTTTGGCTTCATTGCCGAAGAGTTCAGCTTTCACTTTTTATCCATGCCTTTTTTCTTTGTTTTTTTTGTCTCTGTCCATCCTCCTGAGATTTACCTCGCTTTCCTCAATGCGCCCTCCCTCCTCATTTCACTGCCTTTCTTCTTTTCATGTGCCCTCATCTCTTGTGCTTTGAAAACTTGGCTTCATTCCCATTCAGAGCACACCTGATCAACACACAATGAAATGAATGCCTATTGGAGTGCTCAATCAGGGTTAGTGATTTTCTTTTTTTTCGTGTTTTTTTTTGGCCCATTTAGCTTTCACATTCAGGGAAAAATCTATGCAGGCTCCCGACATGTTTCTTACCAACTGAAATCTGAAAGAGAAATTCTATTGTAGAAGCCATGGTGGGGTCTTTACCTCCTGCTCACCACCTATTAGAGCCGTTCTGATTACACCGTTGGAGAACAGATGGAGGCGTGATCACATTTATCAGAGACCGGGGACCCGATCAGCTTCACACACGGTCTTTGCTTCATACTGCACCTTTTGGTGTGAAGGGCCAGTTTTGAGCAGAGGGGAAGAATGTTCGGGATGTCTCCCTCAACCACATCACATCTCCAGCCTTTCCGATAAAAAAAAAAATAAAATAAAAAAAAAAAAACCCCAACATGGCTGCCTGGTAGCGCCTAAGCTCTGACCCACATACGCAGGTGGCTCAGATCATGTGTAAAGGTGAGAATGTCATCTGATCTTTACACGCGCCGGCGCCCTAACGGCCCGGGCAGGGCCTGCCCGTCTGTTTTTGGGTGGTCTAAGCGCTCTTTTTCCACGCCTGACAGACAAAACACGCAGATGAAGGCGTCGCACTCGGGGCCGAGAGGAGCGTGAGGACGACCGAGAAGGGACGCGGGGCCGGGTTATGCGGGTTGGTCTTAATAAAAGGCTCTGAAAAAGTAGGCCAGAGGCGATGAGAGGCCGGGCCCGGATCAAAGTCCCCCACCTGTAATCAGGAGAACTAAATAAAGACGAGCTTACACAATACCCCGCCGGCCCACACACACGCTCTGACCCAAACGCCCGTGTCCCACAGACGAGCACACGGGCAGACACCGGAGCTGATGTCTGCCGGCCAGATGTGCACCAGATGTGCACGTGCGCTTTCACAGACGTGGAAAACTTTGGCAGAGCTGCTGGAAGATGCGCCACCTCCGGCACCACACACAGCCCCAGCTAACACCCCCCCCACCTTAAAATGTAAATGTGGTAGGAATTCCACATGCTGGTCCCACATCAGAATAAACATCCTTTATCATTCCATGTTAGTTCACAAGTCTCTGCCAGCATTCAAGAGCTCGTGGACCCAACAAAAAAGTAAATAAATAAGTGAAAAGTGGCTGTTGGCACCTTAAAACGGCTAAATTCTCACCATCTCAGCTAAAGTAAGATATAGAATCGCTAAGGAGCCTGATTTAAACAAGTCGCTGGCTGCCAGTTTGTATATTGCTCATTACGACGTCTGCTGTTTAGCTGCGTGTCGAGTTCCACGCTTCCACATGTGAACCCCTAACGGGTGTGTTTGTCTCCAGGTGCTGGTCCTCTCCACCCGGCTGCTCCGACCCGCCGACGTCCCGGAGCTGCTCTTCACCAATCAGAGGCTGGCGCCCGACGTAGGCTTCTAACGAAAAGAAGAGCCACCACTTTTGTCTTCCAAGCTTTTGAGTTGGAACTTGAGTGATGCAACATTCCCGCCCTGTACGTCAACAATAAAGAAATTAATTATTTTTTAAAAAGTCGACTTTCCTCACACACAGAAAATTAAGCTCCAAAGAAACCGTTAAATGGCAAACGATAAAGTAATTCACGCCCAGGTGCTGTTTTTAAGTCACACGTGTGAACTTATGACAAGTTGGGGGGGTGTGGAAAGGGCCACGGAGGCCGGGAGAATCCACACTCCCAGTAACCGTCGAGCAGAACGATAAGTTAAGAAGTTAGAAGTTTACTCCCCCCACCACCACAGTTCACCTACACTGGATTTCCTCCCCCCTCTGATATGAATCAGCCCAGCTTTAGCTCAACAAACTCAGCCACCTCCACAGCGCGTGAGTGGATGCTGAACAAGGGTCTTCCTCGTTAGGTTTAAAAGAATGACTGTACAATCCTTGAGTGTCTGACAGAAACAAACAGGAGATCAAGGGTTTTGATTAGGCTCCAAGTTGCAGAAGTTAGGCTCCTAAAGTCATTTCAGGCACACAATTGGGTTTTGTCATAAAACCTCGTTTTCTCCTTAACTTCAGGGGATTTTCATTCCTTAGAAGAATCTGAGAAAACAAGGTTAGCTTTGTGGGAGCTAAACAAAACCTTTCAGTAGCGTTAACTCCACGTTCTTTTTTTTTTTTTTACCTTTATTGAATTGATACTGTGAGGTCGAGCTTTTAGCTTTAGTCAGATCACAAGACTCAAAAAGCGGCCTTACCAGTCATCCCTCGATTGTCGAGGCGCTATTCATTGCTGCCCGCATTGTTGTCCAGGCTTTTATTTTCTTGAATAAGCGCCACCTTATTCAGCCCCGCTCTGCGTGCGTCATCCTGCACACGGGGAGTCTGAGAGCCAAGGACATCGCACAGGCTCCAAACAGTCTTACGTTATACCGCTTTTGCACCTTTTTTTTTTCCAAATTTCTACCAATGTTTAACCTTTCCTTTTGATTCCAGCTAAAAGATGGGGGGGGAGAAACGAAACGGAAGACTTTTGAGTTCGAGTCATCATTTTATTATGACATGTGAATTTGCGACAAATAAATACCAATAAGCCCTTTGGACTATTCTTTTTTTTAATACATTTATATATAAAGTGCATCAGTGATCGTAAGCACGTGCTACATCCTGTGTCTGCTGCCCCCCTCAACCGCTCCCCCCCAAAACTCACCATGTACAGTGACCATTCGGAATGTTGCTAATAACACATATTTACACACAAACCAGTTACTGACAGACGCTGCGCTCTGCTGTGCGGACCACTCGGCTGTGGGTGGAAACCTGTAGCAGAGCCAGGCGGTCTGAATGCAGAACTGAGCAACAATAGAACCCGCAGCTAAAAATAAGCAGTCCTTCAGAGCCGCTGTTGCCGGGAGAGTTCCTTTATAAATCAGTCTTTTGGTTTGTGCAGCCTCGGTGGGCTGGCTCTGCGCCCTCAGGCGTGAGCAGCTGGAGCCCACCGCTGCGTGGACCCCGCCGGACCCCGGGCCTCTCTGCGGAGAGGCCGCTGACCGCCGTAAACTCGCTGCCAAAGGTGCGGCCGCCCCACCTGGGGCTGGCGTCCTTCAGCCAGACTGAAACGGGACTTTAGTGGAGAAGTGTTCACCTTCTGTCCTCAATGCCCTGTGGCCACGCTGGGCCGGTGTCGGTCAGCGCCCGGCCTCACACCGACGTGACGGTCCGCACTTTGGCCGACAGCGCCTGCTTGAAGCGCCGCTTCAGGTCCTGCATGTTGGGCGACTTTGGGCGGGGGATGAGGGGCGAGCGCCTCTTCTCGGCGGCGGCGGGCGTGTTTGAGGAGGGGCCGGAGGGGGCGGGCGGCTGCTTGGCCAGCTGGCAGCACAGCCTGTGGAAGGCCCCGTGCACCTGGCTGTAGTCCTCGCTGGCCGACACCTCGTAGAAGGAGCAGCCCAGCGTGGCGGCCAGCGAGGGGCCCTGCTGGGAGTCCACGCGCCGCAGGTGCAGCAGGTCGGCCTTGTTGGCCAGCAGGATGACCGGGGGCATGTTGGCCGCCCCGCTCCGGACCACCAGCTGGTGCAGCTGGTCGATCAGGTCGAAGCTGCGGCGGTCAGTCACAGAGTACACCAGCACCACCGCGTCAGCCCACTGGACGGAGCAGGTCACATGGTCAGGTATGCTGATACCATTGTCACTCATCTGAGAAAGGAAGGAGACGGAGAACGATCAAATCACTGGTTTCTCTCTCTAGGAGGCTCCTTTTTTGAGGGACTCCAAATTGAAAAAACTGAGTCCAGACGGGTTTAAATGCCGTCTGATTTTCTCTAATGAATGGAATGCTGGCTGAGACGGGCAGAGCTCTAAAATTACTTCTGCAGAGCAGAGAGGTGCGGGTGTCTGAGAGGTCTGGATCAAGATCAGGGTATCATTTACCCTGGCCCCAGACGGCTATTAGACTAAATGACAGATTAGACAACCCAAATGTAGGGCTTTCTTTAGCAGAGGAGGAGAAAAAAAAGCACATCTAAACAGGTTTGACTTTGGAACAGTATCCAGCTAAACTCAACTCAGATTATTTAAACAAGCTCTGAATCTTGTTTCTTTTTTTTAATTTAATTTGTGGATACCATCATTCTCAGTTCTTTCCAGTTGAGACCCGTCTGCTCTGCTAACCCTCAGCCGGCCAAAACTAAACAAAGCCGGGGAGACACCCACCTCTGTCCCGGGAGTGTCCTGGACCTGGATGGTCACTTGCTCTCCATCCAGCTGGACTTCTCTGGAGTACAGATTACCTGCACGGACACGAGAGGAGAGAAAAACAAGTCAGCACCGAGCCTTCCCTTTGACTTCTCTCTTTTCTCAAAAAACAAACGTGTTTTTTTCAAACTCACCAGCGTTTCGTTCGTAGTCTCCAATGAAGCGTCTCGTTAGGAACCTCACCACCAGAGCTAAAACCAGCAAAAAGGAACACAGAAACATTAGAAACATGTTTTTTATCAAAGCATTTCAGTGCTGCTCTACTGTCAGGGTTCAACATGAACACGGGTGTGTGTATTCGGCTCATTTTCTTACCTGTTTTGCCCACTCCGCTACCTCCAATGACGGCTATTTTGATGACCCGGTTCGGCGCCGGGTATTCGGGGGCCGTGTACTCCGCAATGGTCGACATGTTGTGGATGAGTCTCATACTGTCACGTATATATCAGTTCCGTAGGGTGGAAAAAAAGACACGAACAAATTCAAACAGGCGACGAAGACTAAATTCAACCTCGCGCCCCTGTCCTTTAACTCCTTTTGTCTTTTAAAAACAAGAAACGTTGTCAGTTTAAAAACGGTACAATTCAGTCTGGGTTAACTCCAAGAGAAGTAAAGGGAGGTAAAAGCAAAGTGAAGAAGGAGCGACGGTTTGCTGAAGTCCGACTTGACTGCCGAAACGGAGGGGCGCGCGCGGCTTTTATAGCCCTCGAGCCTTGCTCGCATCTGATTGGCTGCCGCCGCTGCCCCCGCTCGCTCGTGCGCCTCCCGCCCACACGTGGATGTTGTTCGGCAGAAACGCGGCGGCGGCAGCAGGTGGAGGCCGGGGCCGGGGCCAACGCGCTTTCCCAGGAAAGGCAGGGCGGACTGTTCTCTGGGAGACTCGAAGCATGCGGCTCTTGAGAAACCGGCTGTGTTTAACCAATATCAGTCGTCATATTTAACAAAAATTCGGAGTCCCCTCTCTTTGTTGATGTTAACCCCCCCTTACCTCCACCATTCCCCCCTGCTGATTGGAAATGACCAATTGTTTGTCAGATACAACTTAGCCCCCCCATTTATTGCAGCTGGTGACCTGTTCAGACATGCCCCATGAATTGAGACTTGTCCACAGGGTGGGGGGGTCATGGCTGCTGCTCCTGTACCACTCCATGCAAAAACACACACACACAAAAGCATCAACTCATATCTCTGAGGAGAGCATGCAAGCATGTGTAAGCCGTTTGAAATCTTAGGATTTTTCCGGTATGTCAACAGCGACAAGTAAACCAATCTTTTTGGGGCAGAGCGATAGCGACACACATGTTTGTCTTAGCTGGAAAAGTGGGTTCAGCAGCCGCTTATCTTTTTTTGTCCCACTTTCCTTTTCTCTCCTCTGTCACATTACCCACATAGCTCCCCCCCCCCCTCCCCCCCTCTCCCTCCCTCCTTCCCCCCCCGTCTTCCATTGTGCTCATGTACTTTGAGGTATTTTGGCAACCAGCGCTCCTGTGATTATGGTCTGGTATGTATTTTTGATAAGAGTGCTGATGACAGGCGGCCGTGTTGAAATGTGAAATTAGTGAGCGGGATTCAGGAGCAGACACCGGCCGGCCGGCTGCTGGGTGTGTGCTCACAAACCTCCCTCTGACCACATCACAGCTCACACACGCAGCTCCACCCCGGCTGCGTTGCCTTTTTTCTGTCTAAGAGTGGGTGAAAACTGCGCATCCAGCCGTTTGATGGCTTTGCTAATTATCTTCATCGGGGTTTGCCTACAGCTTTCTTGTTTGAGCTCAAACTTTCTTTTTTTTTGTTTCTTTTTAATGAGTGATGCGATAGATGTCACTACTTGAGAATCCGAGCCCCCCACGCTTCAGCACATTTCTAACAGAGAGATGAAAGACTCCACGACTGCTCCCTCCTCTTGCAAGCGGGCGAGAAGGCTAATGATGACAGAATGCGTAGCGAGAGCATCCTAATGGAGGGCGACAGCACACACACACGCGGTGACTAACACGCTTACACACACCTCAGTGGTCAAAGCGGCAGGTTGTCGACACAGGGGGCTTTAAACCGACGGATGCAGTGACACGTTTGCTTGTTTTAGTGCACCGTAACTCCAAAAACAATCTGCCTTCGCTGGCAGTGAGGGAAGGCTGCAGGTAAATCTGCTCAGCGTCCTTGAGCAATAACAATTAACAGCCCTAGCAGAGCGGAACAAGGCCTGACTCAGGCATGCCAGTCACCCACAGGTGACAATAGACGGTTAGTAATGGTCAAAGTAGAGAGTAATCCTCCATCCCGCATTTTTCTCCTGTATTTGTGTCCCCCACAGTCCTCTGGGGGTAATTGTCGGGGAGAATTTGGGGGGATTCGCTCCAAACAGAGGAATGTTGAGTTAATTAGGGAGAGGGGGGAGCAAGGGGCAGGGGGAATCTTCAAGAGGACGAGGAAGAGGGTGGTATCAGAAGCATGTCCTTTTCGACACTGAAGTGAGGACTGATTCCCCCGGCCCGCCTCACCTTTTTTCACCGGGGCTGAAAAGAAGCATATGGTCATCAACCGCCCCCCGGGCCTGAGCCCACAAAAGAGGGTCATTTAGGGAATCAGAGAAACACTGGGCGCTTTAGAGGCTTCCCTCAGGGCAAACCTCATGAGCCACGGTCATGTGTTTATCAGCATCGTGACAGATGCTTATCATTCTCATCGCCTTTAATCATGGCCTGTAAAGGTGATTATTATGATCCAATTATTTTGCACTGAGCCTTAGTTTTCAGGTCTGATTACTTCAAAGCTGTGGGATTCAAAAAGCCCTTAATTACCGCTTCAACTTTGGACTCCTCCAAAGTGCACTTTTAGACTAACAGCAATTCTACGTTGTTTTTTTTTTAGGTCGTGCATTGCAAGATATTTAGCCTTTTTATTTTTAGCTGAAGCTTATACCGCAGATGCATTGGAGACTAACCCTGAAATGCAAATCCATACACATCCTCTCATAGATCTTTTGCACTTTTGTTTATATTGCCAACACATTTGCATTTCCAGTGACAAATGGAAATCGTGTTGGCCTGCCAGCACAAGCAGCTCTGACCTGCACAAAGCCGTGGAGGTTGTTTTCTCTTATTGAAATGTAAACCTTCCAACATGTTCTGGCATTTGCATGCCTCTGAATGGTGAGTGTAGTAGGGGGGTGGCAGTGCTGGTTTTAGCTGCTTGTGTGTCCTATGGCGCTGAGTTTGAATTACAATGGTCCCCCACCACCTCTTGTACCACCACACACTCACTCACATACCACCACCGCCTCCCTCTCAAGGAACACCAGCTCCAAGATTTGACACTAAAGTGAAGCATTTAGGGGTGTTCTGGTCCGGTTTTCACGTGACTGTAGACAGGTAGAAACGTAACGCTCCAGGATTATCCAGCTTCTGATGTGAAACCTTGAGCAAAAGCTTTGATTGAGCAGCCAGTATGATAGCAATGCACGCTGCATAGTTTGTATAATTGTCTTTATAAAATTCCAAAAGAGAGGCTGAGGGAGAGAAAAAAAGACAAAAGATACCAAAAATAATTTGGTTATTTTTATTCTCATTGTTTCTTTGGCTCACAGACTTATTTACAGTGTCATTCCAACATGGACATTCTTGAGGCCCGGGTTGTGAAATTCTCATCATGAGCAGGGCAGAGACGCAGAGACAAGAGAGAGACTCTGATGGGGACGGATATAGTCTGGACATGGCGTTCGTTGGTTTGGATTTATGGTCTGGAGCCTGAGTCAGAGCTTCAGAGAGCAGCCCCTGGGGGCCCTGTGTGTTCGTCTAGCCGGGTCTGCCGCCAAGCCTGAGCTGCAGCACACTGAGGTCCAAAGTACGGCTCTTTGGAAGGTTTGATGAAGACAAATGGCCTCCTCTGGGGCTTATTCAGGGCCAAGCCTGGAACTCTGATCTATTTGATTGCGAGGCCCTGCATCACACACTGGTGATTAACCACCAGCAAGACGACGCCATGGCATAGTATTTCACTGCCGTGTAGGGTAGGATTTATTCTATGAGTTTTTTTTTTCTTTTTGGGAGCAGCAGAAAGGGGATAACTAAACATGAGTGTCAGGGGTGGCTCTGGAATCGCCTTTTGCTGCCTTTATGGGACATTGTGACCCATTCAGGTAACAAGAGACCGGTGTTGAATACGAATAAGCATCCCCAAAAAAAAGCACATTAGGTGCGTAACCTGATTCAGGTATTGAGTACACATAAGTAAACATTAAACAAGTGAAAACGATCCCCTAAATATTTGCTCCGGTCATATTTTTCATTATCAGTTTCCTTCCATCATTAGCATTTACCTGATTTGGTGACCTTTGAATATCTGGTTATTCTAAACTCGGGCCAGGCATTTGCCATGATTCGTCTTTCCCTGCCAAACTTTTGCATGTGAACTGACAGACAAGCTCAGTTCTGTCACTGCCTTTTACAGGAAAAATGCAGGTGCATTAGAAACCTGTGGACAAAAAATCTCACCGCTTAGGACTGCATCCAAAAGAAAACCCTGAAAAAGAATAAACACAATGGCAGCCTTTGGGTGATTTACTGCTAAGTTTGGAAACATAGGATAAATTGATGGTGCCTCCCGGCAGGTCAGCCAACAAAAGCAGTCTTTCTCTTGTAAGTAGGCCTGTTACGACTTGTTGACGATATGCAATTTTTGTATCCGTCCAGTTTAGATGAACAAAGCCCAAGGCTTCTTCTTTAGAGGACAACAGGATTCCACCTACAGTTTAGCTACCTGCATGCAGCCAATTCAAGGTCTGGTGCAATGTTGGCTGGGAAACAGCTATAACAAACGCGCTTATGGGCTCTGGGATGGCATCTGGCTGGCAGAGAAAGAGGTTTGTATGTCAGGTGGAGAGGTACCATCCAGATTTAGTTGGGCTCACCTCCACAGCATGGTTGGCTGTCACTCTGTCATACCCCAGTTGCAGTCAGCTAAACTCAACTGGGCTAGTACATGCTAATTGTTACATAATTTGATGTTACTTTTTTTATTTTTTTGAGAGACACTTCCTGCTGTGCTCTTTAAATCAGTCATGTAACTGACCTGACAGCACTCCTCCCGTCTTTTTTTTTTAACCACTAACTTTATTGGCCTTTTGTTAGTTGTTTTTTTTCTTTGTTCCTTTTGTTATTTGCTGTCCTCATATTCAAAATAAACTCGCATTATTTACTCATGAAATGTCTCACCGTCAGCATTTTGATTCATTTTCTTGGCCGTGTTTTATTTAAATGCGGAATTAGTTAAATAGATTTTCAAATGACTGCATCTCGTTTTCATTTTAGATTAAACAGGATCCTATTGAATTATGCCTGGGCAGCTGGGTGGTCTGGTGGATTGCAAGTGGGTTCCTGTTTCAATCCAACAACCCCGCCCGGTGACCCTCCTATTAGGACTAGGGTGATGGGTAGATGGATAGTTTATGCCTCTTGTTTCTGGCCTCTGGCAGGCTCTCTGGGGAGCCTTCTTTGAAGAAGTGCTTTGGAGAGGCCGGGAGGTAATTGCATGTGTAATCTCAGCATTGACACCAATCTCCCTCACCTTTTTTTCCCCCAGAGATTCACACTTGTTGTTTGTTGTCTATGACCCATAAATGTCACATTTTTCCTCATGGCTAAGCTACGCTTGAGCTTTCCTTTGTGCATGAGTGGATTTGAGTTTTGTTTTTTCCCTCAAACT